TTTAAATAGTATTATAGTAATCATTTTGAAAAAACCTAAATGGAACTATAACAAGAATTTCTCTTTAGATTTTGATTTATATACATACCTCAAGAAGATTACGACGGTATCATTTTGGTATTTTCTTATGTTTGACAACAATCCGTGACTCTCCGAATAAAACAAAAACCTAGCTAGTGTTCAAAGCGGCTTGGTAGAATTAAATTTGGGGTTACCTGATATGGGCCTTGGTCAAGTTATGTAAGTTTGGGCCCATTTAAGATACATTTAACGGTCATCTTATCGGGTCAAAACCTTAATTTAATATCCAGTGGATTAGCCGGCGTCGTTTTGGTAGTGGAAAGGTCACATCTTTAAAACGGACTCATAAAGCTAAACTTGTTTGGTATTTGGAATAAATTCGTTCCGATGAAATCATCAATCATACTCGGCGATTACTGCATAAGGAGCTGTGATGGTGGTGGAATTCGAAGGAAGCTGGGTCGAGTTTCGTATCAGACCAAAGAAGATTGATCGGAATTTTCGACCGCCAGCGAAGAGAAGCGACAACGGAGATACGTGTAAGTCACCGAAACCTTGATAGCAACACGTGTTAGTTGCTGTAAGCCACGTGTAGATGTTTTTATTGTTATATCTTTAGAGTTAAGCATATGGGCTTTAATGAGTTTGTTTTGGGCTTCCATAGTTAACCAATGCTTTTGTATCAGAAAAGTTGAGATCAAGCGAATCGAGAAGAAAAGCAGTCGACAAAAAAAGCAATCTCAGCATCTAATAACAATTGCTCGAGTCCTCTTGATCATTAAAGACTCGATTTTTTTTTAAATATTAGTATGGATTCCAAGCCGGTTATCGAAAAAGAAAAGATCGGACCGGTTGGTTAACAAGGCAGTCGTAAATAAATCATCGTCATGTGTTCCTCTCTCCAAAACGCTTCGTTTCAACTTAATTATTATTTTGTTCTCTCTCTCTCGTTTCACAAAAAAAAAAAAAAACGGAGTTGGATTAGTCTTAAAGAGCCCCAAATAAATAGGAAAAAAAGAGAGAGAAGCGAAGAAAAAGGAATAAAAGAGGCAAAAGATTGGGTTTCTCCGACCAGTGATACAGAGATGAGAACCAAATTAGGGTAAAACTCTTGTCGGAAAAAGAAGCCGTGGGAAGAAGAAAAGTGGAGATCAAGCCGATCGAGAAGAAAAGCAGTCGACAAGTCACTTTCTCCAAACGAGGCAATGGTTTCATCGAGAAGAAAAGCTCGACAGCTTTCGGTTCTCTCTGTGAATCCTCCCTCGCTGTTCTCGTCGTCTCCGCCTCAGGAAAGCTCTACGACTCCTCCTCCGGAGACAAGTAAGCTTCTTTCCTCTTCTTCGTCCCCTTGTTCAATTTCTTTCCCGATATGGAAACTTCAAATTCAGGGTTTTCTTGTTTCCTTCAATTCAACTGTGATTTTCTCTTTCTTTTGCTGCTAAGTAGCTGATGGGTTAGCTTAACCCTAAATTTAGATCAAACTCCATTAAAGATATGTTCTTGGTGTTCG